AACAAGGTCATTGACCTTGATGTCATTTGAAAGAACTTTATTAGAGAAGTATGCATACCAAATATGAAGTCTCTATCTCTTACGGTTCAAAAGTTTTGGCCAAGGTTAAAGTTGACAACAGACAAACAGATAAACAGACAAACAGACAGGACAAAAACAATATGCGCCCTGAAAAAATTCGGGCGCATAAGAAAACATCGCATGCTGGGAAACACCTTGAATTCTTATGAATAATTTATGTACATGTCAATTGTGAGAGTCATATCTCATCTCAATCATAAGTTATAAGCAAATGCAACATTTTTCAAAAGTAGGTTAGGCTTGATCACTTCAAGGTCAAGGTCACAGTGTTAAAGTCATGATTTATTTGGAAAGGTCTTATCACAGGTAATAATATACATGCATTATGATATGAATGCCCTAACTTTTCTCTTTCAAAATGATGAATTTATAACCATTTTATTTTTTTTGCAAGTTGGTCAAACTTCTAGGTCACATGTAAAAAAAAAACCATGCCATTCTCACAGGTAAATATACTAATACATAAGTTTAATATGAATGTCTCTTCTCATTCACTAGATATGACCGTGATAACCAAGGTTAAATTTATTGAGACAGATGGACTGAGTCTGACATACAAATGTACATATTTCTATATGAATTGGGTAAAATTGGCCCAGTGGTTCTAGAGAAGTTAAAAATGTAAAATGTTTTCAAACAAACAGATGGACAACACATCACGACAGACATTATATGCTAAGGAAACCAAAAAAGCTCAAATGAGTGTTTTGAAAGGGTTACAATATGGTTGGAGTATTTCAAAAGCTGTTTTTTTTTCCTGCAGAGATATGCATGACCAACATATTCATGTTTTACATTTTCTTTAGTGATTTGTTTGTTTGTTGTGAATACATCTTCCCTCTTATGGAGACACCACCAAATAATAATGAAGATAAGATGTGTTTGTGAAACACTGATGTCCCAGTATGGAAGCCTATGGCGAAGGTTGAAGTTTCTCAAATATGTGTCAAAATCAAAGGTCAAGGTCAAAGGGTTCAAATTGTTAGTATCAGAAGAAAGTCTTGTCACAAGGAATGCACATGTGAAATAAAGAAATCCCTGGTAATTCCTGTTCAAAAGTTAATTGCCAAGGTTAATTTTTTTGTTTAAGTGGTTCAAACTCTAGGGTCAAGGTCAAACATATTTATACCTGTTGACAGTTCACAATGAATACAATATGTCATGATAAGTATGAAAGCCTTAGCACCTACTGCTCAAAATTTAGGCAGAGTTTAAAGTTTGGTATTTTTCTTGTAAAAATGTGTATCCTATGTCAAGCGATCAGAGGTAAAAATTAATGGTACCCAAATAAAAGGTCTTATTAAATTGTCACAAGAAATAAACCTATAAAATGTGGAAGCTATTTGTATAGCCCATCCCACTTAAAACTTATGGGCAAGCTAGCTAGGATTTAATTTCTGCAGACTTATAGACAGATATACTATAAACACAAGAAACAAAATATGCATAATAATTAGTCAAATGGAAAAAAATATACTATTTAACTGGAATCACAAAATACATTGTTATTTCAGGGACAGGAAGTGGGTAGGAAGATTGGAATCCCCCCAAAACCCCAACCCCCACCCATGGCATTTGCTTTATTTAAACAAGACTATATACTGTAGCAAGTAAAAAATGACTCTTGACATCCTCTCCCTATAAACTTAAAAAAAATTGACCTCACTATCATTGTTTTTTTATTTGTTTACTTGTTTTCATTTTTTTTCTCCGGCTTGTCACGAAATTCTGGGCTGGAATTTTTTGACTGAGATGTGAACCCCCCTCCCTACTCCCGGAAAAAATTCTGGATCCGCACCAGTATTGGCAGTAACTGAATGTCACATCGACAACGGAGATAACTTCACAATATGAAATTCGTCTAGTGTGGCACGCGATGATCTTTGACCCTTTTTAAACTTTAACCTAATCGTTTGGGTGTATTTTACCCCCCACTATACTAAAACTTCTACTTACCGACTCCCTGTGTCTCGTCAACTTCATGAAATATAAATCCAATTACCGGTATAACACAAAATGAATATTAATCCAATGCACACCAGACTGCAGCCATATGCCATTTTGGCGAACCTTCGTCGATTCCATCACCTTATCAGATGAAGTGGGTATCGGCCGAGGTGTGCCAAATGGTGTTTAATCTATAAATATGATAATGGGTGACGCAACGTGATGTGATGAAGAAATTTACATGTTCACATGTATAGTACAAGAACAAATTTTAAATTAATTCATAACAAACGATATTAAATTTTAACAAACCTTTTCCATCTAGCCTATTCCAAAAAGTATGTGCTGTGTGATTGTGGTGTCGAGGGTGGGGGGAGGGGGGGGTGGGGGTGGTAGTAAATTTAAAAAGGTCCTATTATGAGCAAAACATATATCAAAATCTAATTTCAGACGCGGATCCAGAAATTTTTTCCGGGTGGGGGGGGGGGGGGGTCCACCTCAGTCAAAAAAAAATCCTATCCCAGAAATTGACAATAATAAAAAAAAACCTAAAGTAAATCTCACCCAAACGTCAAAAACCTATATCGTGGGGGATGGGGTGGGGTAGTGGTGACTTCTATTGCCGCAAATGTTTAACTTTTCATACCTATTTTACACATATTCGTGTTTACCAGGGGGGGATCTGCATTTTCCAAGGGGGGTCCATTGTAACTTTTTCCTTGTTTTAGTATATACATTTTTTAACCTTGTAAATTCCAGGGGGGGGGGTCCTGACCCCCCCCCCCATCCCCCCCGACAGATCCGTGCATGAATTTACATCATTAATAAAATTCAGACTGGTATGTAATGAATTAAGCATGTATAAAATAAATATAAGAGGTTCTGGATTATAGGTCACAGGGTCTGAGAATTTCATACTCAATTTGATGAATACATGTAAATTATAGAATTATTTTGACTATTTCTTTGGAAAGCCGCCCAATATGTAGGAGCGTGTATTTAGAGGCAAACACCTTAGTGCGGGTATTACTGTCTCATGACAGCATCTAGTTTATCATTGAAATCCACCTGCTCTTTTGTCTATAAAACAGGCGTTGGTTGCTGTAAATGACACATATTTCAGTGAATATTTCTTTGGGATTCTTCACACATTCCACAGCAGCTTTAACGAAGCGTTTAATTTCACTCTAGCTTACTAGCTGATTCTTAACCATTCATTTTAATGCAGTGTCTCGACTAGCCATTGTTTCCCAGCTTCTCACGATGAAACTATGTGATGAAAAGTGGTCACATAAACTGTTATAAATTCAGTAAAGAATCAATAATGAGAGAAAGTCAAGTTTAATGTCATATGATATCTGTATTGTATATCATACAGTTTAGGACATTATTTATTGAACAGCCCTCGTAATTTATATGATATGAATTTATAATATATGCATGAAATAATTTATTTCTTGATATATAATAGATCTAAATTACTGATATACAGTTGCATGTACTGAAAGTTTCTCTGTTTTATTTCATCTACACATGATCATTTCTGGGTGCTTTATTAGCTTAAGAATTTTAGAAAATAATTTTTAAAGACGTCGCTTGAGTCAACCCACGAACTATTGACCTGTTGAATGAATTTGCCAGGGGTCCAATGGTAACGTGTTGACTCAGTACTCCTGTCACTGCGAAAATGTAGGTCATAAGGACTTAAAATTAGGTGTAGTTAAAGAAAGCTAAAAAATAATCATCTAGAAAATGTACAATGCATTGGCATCGGAAATCGGAGGGGTGGGGGTGCAAAAGATAGGCATTGAAAATTGGGGCGTAGGTTTTAGCGCCCAAGAAATTGGTGTTGAAAGAAGTTCGATCCTATTCACCCCCCACCCCCTACCACCACCACGAAATAGGATTTTCTTGTTTGGACAGTGGACACATTTTTTTTTTTTTTTTGCTTTTCAAGTATTTTTGTAGGTTTGAAATCTTTCTCTCTTTCAATTAGCCCCTCTCCCCACTTTGCTCCCGACGCTAATTCAATGTATGAATTATGACCCTTGCATTTTGACCTTCAAATCAATAGGGATCTTCTTTTGGTCACAGGGAGTTGTGGTATAAAATTCATCGTAAAAACCTTTTTACAGACTTCTTTAGCATGTTTAGATAGCGTTTAGAAAGAAAGTGTAACACAAGGATCTACCTCAAAACAATCTATGACCAGCAAACATTTTCAAAATTCGGCTTTGTTTTTGTTTCTTCTTCTTCTTTTTTTTGGGGGGGGGGGGGGGGGTCTTTTAACCGGAGGATCATTACTAAATTTGTAATAAATTATAAACTTTGTATTTACTAATTTTTCCAGAAAAGAAAGCTGCAAATTTCTTTTCAATGACTATGTTGCCTTTTACTATTTCTCAGCCCCTAAAAGAAAACACGAATAGATTTTTTTCTACATTTAAAATACGAAATTAAAAGCTGAAGATCTCAATGTCCAAAATTATTGTGCCCCGTTTTCACTGGAAGTAGGATATATCTATTTCAGTCTGCCCGTCCGTCTGTATGTAATTCTTTTATAACTCGTGGAATCTCGAAGTCAACTTTTACTGTGGATTTGTTTGTTATCCAACATCTTTTGCATTTTCGTTTAAGAACATCTTTACATTGTATGCTAAAGAGTTCGTAATATTTTTTAGATTTTGTAATATTTTTTATGTATGTAGAGTTGTGTGCCCTTAGAACGGATTTTTTAAAATAAAGGTCCTTAAAAAATATTGATCCACACCTTTGGAATCGCGCGATAACATTTTGTCTCTTATCGCTGAATAGCAAACACTTCCCTGGATTACAAACGTCCGCGTTAGATAGATACCATAGTTTGACTGAACTCTTTTTTATAGAGTGTTAGATAGTTTATGGAGTATTTTCAGAGTATAGATAGTTACACAACACGGCAGTTATATCTTCCTGGTGTCTAGGTTCTCGTAATGGAATCTTTTAGACGAACCTTCCGAAGCCGTAGGGACTACTCGGCCATTAACCCAGTGTTGAAGTATTTCCTTTTCTTTGAGAATTTTCTAATATGGGTAAGTGATATTTTGAAATATGGGTAGGTAAATATTTTGAAATAACTTTGATCCCTTTTTGCAATTATAAAGGTGTGATATATTGAGTTTATCAATTCAATGTTTTATCCATTGACAGATAATAGGACATATGTAAGGTAAACAATGTCTGTGTATGTACATATCCCCTTAAATAAAGACGAAAACTCTTCTATTTATTTTACTTTTTTCTTAGCTAATATACTAGTACTTTTAAACTTTGAACTTTGTATAATAAAGTTTACATATCCATTCCTTAGAGAAGAGGTTCACTGGTTTTGTCAGCTTTTTTTAGCTATGCCAAATTTTTCTCCCAATGCAAACGCTTAAGTGAACAACTTTAGCTCTAATGGAAAAAAAGGTCTTCACAAAATTTTCTCCACAAAAACATTAAAATGTATATATGAAAACAAACAAAAGAGAAATTCGGCCGAAAATAGCCTCCGACTCGTATATACTAGTCAATGTCTTTTAGAACTTTGATGTGCCACATTTTTTCTTTCTATTTCTTTGATTACAAGTTTTTGAAATTCATTGTCAAAATCTTTTCAAACATTTGGATATCGCCTAGATGTAAAACTAAATATGAAACCTATATGGAATTTCTGATATTACATCCTTTGTGAAAGTAGATCGTTATCGGGGGACCTGTATGTATAATCTCTGATCGAAAAATGGAATACTTTCAATGGATTATTTTCAGCTTGCGGGTCTTGCAATGACAGCCATTGGGGCTTACGTCCTTTACATGAAGAAGAAGGTTGTTAAGGACGCGTTCGATTTTTTCCTGGATCCGTCCACATTGATGTGTACAGGCGGCGCTATAGTCGTGTTCATAACTTTCTTTGGCTGTATGGGAGCTCTCAGAGAAAACACATGCTTTCTCAAAACGGTGAGAAATTTTGATAAAAAGCTATTATTAGGCCAAGTCTTGAAAAATTATTGCTTGCCTTCTCCCGACTGGGTCTGAAAATTTTGGGTGGGTATACAGGTGAGAAAATATTTTTTCTCAGAAAATTCAATTGCAGTGCTTTTTTTTAAAATGTATTTTCCAAAGTACAAATAAGAAAAAATATTGCTTTCCGATGATGAAAAAAAGTAATGAGTCGTGCTATTTTTAGCCGTTCGATAGGGAGAGGGCAACCAAACATTTTTTTGAGAAGGCCCTCCTGATAATCTGATTTTCTAGCAAAAGACATGACCTATATTCTCAATATGTAGGACAGATATTTGAAAATTAGACGACGATGTTAAAAAAAATCGGACTTTCCAACTTTAAATTATACTTTCTTTAATCTTTCTAAAAGTTGCATCATAGGAAAATAATATTTTTTTCGTCTTCTTCCAGTACAATTACGTATTGAGTTTCATCTTTTTGGGAGAGTTGGTGCTTGTGATCCTTATTTTTGTGTTTTATTACGTCCCCGAATCTCGTCATCAACTGGGAATTTTCCCTCAAGATAGCTTGAGAAATGCAATAAACAAATACGGTGTCGTGGACGATGATGATATGGTCAGCTTAATTGACAACATACAAAAAACGGTAAGACAAATAAAATTAATAGTTTCATTCAACAGGTGAAAAAATCTTAAAACAAAGTAAAAAGAATGTGTTTGTAGAATACTGATACAACTGTGTCCTATTGTGTCCGGATAGGGCCTTTTACTAAAGCTGAAGAGCACTTTTATATGCGTAACAACACGCTGTCTTTCAAGCAACTCGCCGGCGCTAACACACAACACATCGACGCAAGTTTTGTTAGCACGTCGGCATGTTGCGCAAACTCGTGTTAGCGCGACAGTGCGTTGTGTGTTAGTGCGATGGCGTGTTGTGCGAAATCGTGTTAGCGTGACAGCGTGTTGTGTGTTAACGCGACGGCGTGTTCTAGTGTTAGCGTGACAGCATGTACTGTGTGTTAGCGCAACGTCGTGTTTTTCTGAACGCGCTGTTGAGCTTTTGCAAATGGCCCTATCCGGACATCATAGAAAGATTAATAAAAATGAGTTTCACACTGATACAAATGTACCCTATTGTGTCCGTTCAGGTCCATTTGCTAAAGTTCAACAGCGCTTTTAGAAAAACACACTTTCGCGCTGACAACACGCTGTCACGCTATAACACTGTGACAAGTTCGTACAACAAGCTGTCACGCGAACACAAGTTCACACAACAATATGTCACGCTATAACACAAGTTCGCGCAACTCGATGTCACGCTAATCAACACACCTGGCAACACAATGTCATGCAAACACGAGTTCGCACAACACGTTGTCGCGCTATCACACAAAGTTGACACAACACGCTGTCGTTAGTTGTGTGTTAGCGCAACGGCGTGTAGTGCGAACCCGTGTAAAAGTGACAGCGTGTTGTGCAAACTCATGTTAGCACGACAGTGTGTTATTCAATGTTTCTATAGTGAGTTGTGGGTTATAGTGACTGCGTATTGTGTGTCAGCGCGACGGCATGTTTTTCTAAAAACCCTATTGAGCTGAGGGGTGTCCCGTCTTCAAGAAACTGTGGTTTGACTGGAAAAGGTAGATATTACAGTATTGCAGTCTGGCAGAGAGTAACAAATGCGAGGCTGGAGTGTTGCTGTTTAGCTGACAGCATGAATTCTTATGTACGTGGCGCTGTGCTTTGCTTAACATTAGTTTCTTTTTGTATGTTAATTGTCAGTTGCAGTAGTGTTTCAGCTAAGTTGACAATTATGATTTTTATGCCCCCCCCCCCCCTCGAAGATTGGAGGGCATAGTGCTTAATTGCTGCTGTCGGTCTGTCTGTTTGTCGGTCCACCAATTTTCCATTCATTTTCTTCAAAACCCTTGCACATATTTAGACGAAATTTGGTATACAGATTTATCATAGGAATACCTGGATCAAGTTTTGTTTTGGGTACGATCGACCAATTTTTGACAGAGTTAACTTAGGTCCCATTAACTTGGAAAGATTCCATTTATGTGCAGTTTCCGCTAATTTCCTCTGCAGCGGTTGCACATACTAAAATGAATTTTGGTATACAGATTTATCATAAGAATATCTAGATCAATTTATGTTTTGGGTACGATCAAGTTATTTTGACAACGTTTAGCCCCTTGGACTTAGAAAAAGTCCAAATATTTGGGGAGGGGGTAAGTTTTTTTTACAAACATCTCTTGTTATGTTGATCATATTATGGTTTGGCTGACGGAATTTTTTTATTATTGACAGTTGCAGTGCTGCGGTTTAGCTGACAGTGAGGAAGGTTATAAAGACTGGAATAATAACCCGTACTACAATTGCACGAAGCACAACCAAAGTCCAGAGGCATGCTCAGTACCCGCGTCATGTTGTAAAGTGAAACCGGTAATTCAACTGAGAGAGAAAGAAAGAAAGAGAGAGAGAGCTTTAAGACTTAGTCGAGTACAAGAATTTATTACATTTTTACCCGTGAAATACTGTAATTTATTCATTGCATAAAAATGATATCCTGTCACAGTGTGAAAGGATTTCAAAATGATATCCTGTCACAGTGTGACGAATATCAGAAGTGCGGGAAAACTCTCGATTTCTCTTCCCATAACGAAGATTTTTGTAAAAAAAAATCTTCCTTGACCTAATATAAGTTAAAGATAGATGGAAATAAATAATCCATTCTGACAGCGAATAAAACTGTCAAAATTACCTAATATATGTTGCTAAATCCATGTTTACAGTGTTTTCACCTCACTTATCTACATCTCAACCGCTCAACTATGACGTCATGCTTATGACTGTATTACAAAAAGACAGGATGCAAAGGAAAAATCAAAGAATTTTTTTTAAAAAATGTAATAAATAGAAAATTCAATGTTTTGTAGTTGAATATGGAATTTATTTCACTCGTGAGACAGGATTTTTTGATATTTTCACTCGTGAAAATATCAAAAATCCTGTCCCACTCGTGAAATAAATTCCATATTCAACTACAAAACATTGAATATCCTCTGTAAGCTTGATAAGGAGGTGATTATTAGATTAGTTAATATTTTAAATTAGGATGCATTTCTTCACTACAAGAAGTACGTGTAAAAACCATATACTATTAAATCAAATGTATATACATGTATATTTTCCCAGGGAGAGGAAATAAACGTCTTATGTGGTCGAAAAGTGATGCAAGCAAGTGAAAATGTAAGTATCATAAGGTATTAATTTACCTATCAATATGAAATTGCAATGACGTGTATTATAATTGTTCTGGCAAAGTTAAGAAAAGTAATTTAATAAACATTATACATTTATTGACTGAGTTCGAGGGCAACATGCGTTTTTTCGGACCCAAGAACCAAATTGTCTGCCTGAGGCCGTTAGGCCGAAGGCAGACAGTTTGGTTCGAGGGTCCGACAAAACGCATTTTGCCCGAGAACTCTGTCAATAAATGTTTTGTTATACCTTTCATTTTATTATATATTTTTTGACATACATATATTTTGTGCTATATTCCGTAATGTAACATTAGATCTTTCACTGTTTAAAACCAAAGAATGAAAATGAGATTAAGCTCCGCCCATTCTGTGACGTAAGCGGTCCAACATCTCTCCGAGCGGTCCAACATCTCACTCAGCGGTCCAACATCGATTTTTTATGCCCGCTCAGCAAAACATTAAAAATGTTAGACTTTTTTCTGTATAGGTTTGTATAGGAACAAATTTTTAAAGGTATAACAAATATCTTCAATCTCAAAGATTGGGCGCTTCACATTTATCGACTGTAAATGCATATTTTTTTCCCGATGATTTACGGAAGCCCATTAGTGCCAACCTCTATATATATAAAGGAAATGCAATATATAAAAGAAACCTCGATATATAAAGGAAATACAATATATATAAACAAAACCTGGATATATATAAAGAAAATGCGATATATATAAACGAAACCTGGATATATATAAAGGAAATGCGATATATATAAACGAAACCTGGATATATATAAAGGAAATGTGATATATATATAAACAAAACCTTGATATATATAAAGAGAAAAGCGATATATATAAATAAAACCTCGATATATATAAAGAGAAATGCGATATATATAAAGAGAAAATTTTCCACTGCGTGACCTGTAGCACTCAGCTGTCCATCAAGATTATATACAGATTAACTCCTGGCAGGGGGAAATCGGTTATACAGTACTCCGAACTTTCCCAGAATCGGAAAAATGTTGCCATTTAATAGTGTTTATTTGTTTGTACATGCATATATCAATGAACTGTAATATTAATTATTGTAACATTACTTAAAATAATGCACTTAATTGAGAAGATGAGCATTTTATTAAATGCATTCATGATTAAGTATATGTGTTGCATTAAAAGTTTCAATCTAAAGTTTAAACTTATCTAGATAGTTACAGATAAGTTTAAATTTTAGATTTAAACTTTTAATGTAACATATGTATCGTATTTTCTGTGTTTTATTGGCTTTACATGTATTTTGATCAACTTCGTTTTTTTTACAACCTTTTTTTTTTATTTATTTTTTACCAAACTTACTAACTTTGGTTTCACAACCGAGAATTTATGAAAATGTAAAGTTAAACGTGGAGTCTTAACAAGTACTTTTTAATGCCCTAATTCAAATTTATTTAAATTCATTATAAAAATAATTTACTAGTACGCCGATTGATTGTAAAAAAAAAAGAAAAAGAATCGGAATGGGAGAGAGGGGAGAGATGAAGTCTTCACTTCATTTGAATATGAGGGAAGAAAGCGACATGTACTTTTACTGTATAATTATGTAATAATTTAAGGGCCCTTTGATGTGAAAAAAATAAAGTATTGATAGATAAAAAGAAACGAGTTAGTGCATGCACACTTACATAATTAAACTGCGGATTTTTGTCCCACATCGTAAATTAAATCGATTTGAAAATCTACATCTTGTAAAAACATAGTAAAACGTTAAAGAACTTATAAAAAATGATAAAACACACTTGTATTTTTGCACCGAATTATATTTCGATTGAAAAAGACCCCCAACATTTAGTTATGTAATATACATTTTAAGCCGAAAAGTCATTCATTGGTGTAATTCTGCCCAACACGTCTGAAATGTAAGAAGAACAGAGTGTTTAAGCTTTAGATTTAATTGTCATAATTATCAAGATACACAAAGGAAGAAAACACAACACGCTGAATACCATCCTGAAACAGCCACACCAACTGATTGCAATGAAAACATTAGACCGTGAGCTGCTTATCATATGTTGGCGAAGTCTCTGTTGTAATGTAGGTCATTAAACATGTTAAAGGTCAGGCAGTGGAAATTTTTCTCTTTATATATATCGAAGTGTTGTTTATATATATCGCATTTCCTTTATATATATCGAGGTTTTGTTTATATATATCGAATTTCCTTTATATATAAATCGAGGTTTTCTTTATATATATCGCATTTCCTTTATATATATCGAGGTTTTCTTTATATATATATATCGCATTTTCTTTATACGGTGGTATATTTAGGACACGCAATTATTTTTTTTAATGCTTAAAAAAATTATCTTGTGAAAACGAGATGATTATCTTGTGAAAACGAGATATTATCTTGTGAAAACGACTTATTATCTTGTGAAAACGAGATAATATCTTGTGAAAACGAGATATTATCTTGTGAAAACGAGAT